CTTTTAGTAGCAATGGCACCAACACCCTGATCTTGACCATCCACTACCAAGAGAAATTAAATTGCTTCTTTGGACTACTTTAAAGAAGTAATTCAATCCACAGCTGGCAAAATATACAGTTGGAACATCTGGTTCGATCAAAGTGATTTTTAAAAGGACAGGGTTATGCCACAAGGACCAGGAGATATCTTGAAGGGGTTTCTACTAACAAATCTGAAGCAATTTGAACACCAAAATAATTTAGTGAATTTTCACTTTTTCTTTTTCGCCAGAGTCTTATGTAGACCACACTATTCTCAAACTCACTGTTTAGCGAAGTATGACCTTCTAATCATCATATACACACCATGGCATCCCCACACACATAATAAATAAATGTAATTTACAAAACACAAAAACAAAAAAGAGCTATATGTGGTGATATGCGTTTGTAATCCCAGAACTCCAGAGGAAGACTGGACAGTAGACTAAGCAGTGAGCTCTGGACCAGTGAGACACTGTGACAAACAAGGTAAATGGTTCCCAAGGAACAACAACTGAGGTTGTCCTCTGGCTTCCACTGGCACACGTGTGCACATACACTGGTGCACACTCTTGCAAGCACTTGCACACGCACACAAGGAAAACATGCATTTATTTTTAATCACCTGCTTTTATTTTTGTCACATTTTGTAAATTTCTTTCCACATATTTTAAAAGGAAAACAAAAAGTCATGTCATACAAAGTGTCTGAAGTAAGGCTCTTGAAGAATACAGTGTTCTTCCAAAGAGAAGGCCACAGATGAGCTGCAGCCCCAGCCCCCAACTGAGAAGACTGCAGAGAAGCTAACCCTTTGTATAGTTAGGTATGTCTGGGTCTGAGGGGGTCTGTTGGATGAGCTTCACCATAGCTGGAGGGTTAAACACTCTCTGTGAAGCCTGAGTGACACCCTATCTGATGCCTCCCTCCCAGCCTGGCACACCCCTATCGGATGCTCCCTCCCAGCCTCACCCACTCTTGGCTAATCTTCCCATGTCTTGAGCACTTCCAGGGCCGAATCAATCAACCCACCAGGCTTAGGCTGCTGTCCACCCTGAGAACAGGTCAGCAGCTCTGGGGATCTGCAGACCTGTCAGCCTCCCTATCCCAATCCTTGACATCTTGCGTTGGCCCCAAGATTGACTGCAGCGCTCCAGGCGGCCCTCTCACCCCCCACTCCTGTGACCTTGCCTACAACTGCTGACTTCCACCGTGCTGGTTCAGCCTCTGGCTTTCCTTCAGCAGTTCTGGCATTGTGCATCTTGCCCTGGTGCTGACTCCCTGGCTCCCCTATGACTCAGGACATTGGCTCCTTGCCCCAGGACCCGACCTTGCCTAAGCATGCAGTCCTCCCCTCTGATGCCCTCACTGAGGAAGAATTGGAATATTTAACCCAAATTCTCCCAGATTTCCAGGCTCCTCCAGCTTGTCCTGGAAAAGGACAACTTGGAGCTCCTAATGCTGTGAACATAATTACCAACCCAACTATGACACAGGACACCAAAGACATGTAGGTGACTAATAAAACTTGAAGCAGGAGTAGCAGTAGCTCTATCCAGGCACTGACTACAGACTAAAAAACATAACTACCTAGCACATCACAGCCTCCAACCCTAAGATTGCCTGCTCTACCCTTGTGCTGGCTAGTTTTACATCAATTCAGTACAAGTAGAAGAGGGAACCTCAACTGAGAAAATACCTCCATAAAATTTGCTTGTATGAAAATCTACATTTTCTTAATTAGTAATTGATGTGGGAGGGCCCAGCCATTTTTGAGTAGTACCATCTCTGGGCAGGTGGCCCTGGGTAATGTAAAGCAGTAATCCTCCATGGCCTCTGCATCAGTTCCTGTCTGACTTCCTCAGTCATGGTCTGGAAGTATAAGCTGCTTTTGGTCATGGTGTTTGGTCACAGCAATAGAAATCCTAACCAGTCAGGCATTGGTGGCACACACCTTTAATCCCAGTTTGGGAGTCAGAGGCAGGCAGATCTACAGAGCAAGTTCCAGGACAGCTAGGGCTACAAAAAGAAACCCCTAATCCCAAAACAACAAACTCTAAACTAAAACAACCTTTTCATTTGCTTAGAAGTATTGAGGAACCCAAGAGGAAAAATCAGTAAAGGTATTACTTGATCACATATGGTGATGCAGCCTCAGACTAGCGGCTTACTTGGGGGGCTGGGGCAAGAAGATGAGCCTGTGAGCTTAGCCTGTCTCAAAAAGAGAAGGCAAGGGATGCAGTTCAGCAGTACAACTTTCCTAGAATCCATAAGGGAGGGATTGGGGATTATCAGTCAGTGAGAGAGTGTTTGGCCAGAATCCTCCAATGTGGCACAGCAGGAGAGCTTTCCCCAGGATCCCCCAGTGTTTCTGGGGGCCATGGCTCAGTGGCAAAACACTTGTCTGGCATGGATGAGACAACAGGTTCAACTCTCAGTTAATTAGTAAGCCTGAAAATCCAGACCGTGGGGTCTAGGACTGGAGCAGATAGTCCTGGAGTGAGCACCCCATTTCTGCGGCTTGCCAGCTCTGATTCCTCAGGCCAATGCTTCTTTCTCCCTGTCAGCTTCAGGGTCTCCATGACTCAGGGACAATGCACGTGAATCACCTGCTCATTACAGACTCTTTGTAACCAAAGCCTGACTAAAGCAATTTAAGGGAGGTTGGTCTTTTCTGGGTCGAGCTTTCAGAGGGGTTAACGTGTGGTGGCTGGGTTGGTTACATTTTTGGGCCTATTGTGAAGCAGAACATCATGGTGGTGGAAAATCTGATAACAAATATGAAGCAAAGAGGAGAAATGACAGGAAGAGGACAGGCAAATACAGCCAGTTTGTGATATGTCCCTTTTTGTTCCCTGTGACCTACTTCCTCCAACCAGACAGGAATTTCCACCACACTCCAAAAATCCTTCTAGTCCCTCAGTCTTCATGATCTATCTCTGGAAACACCCTCAAAGACACACCCAGAGGTGTGCTGTTCCCTCTTTCAGAGGTAGATCACTGTAAATTTGAGGCCAGCCAGAGCAACACATTGACACCCTGTCTCAAAAAACCAAAACAAAGCCAGGAGGTAATGGTGCACCCCTTTAATCCCAGTACTTGGGAGACAGAGGCAAGTGGACCTCTGAGTTCAAGTCCAGCCTGGTGTACAAATCAAGTTCCAGGACAGCCAGGACTACATAAAGAAACCCTGTCTTGAAAAATAAGAAAAAAAAAAAAAAAAAAAAAAAAAAACAAAAACAAAAAAAAAACTTTAGTACAACTAACAATACCAAACAGAAGTCTTCACTAGGCTCTCCTGATGTTTGTTCATGGGCCTGCAACACAAGACAGAGACAGTAACTTTGCTATCAAGGAAACACCTAAAGGTCCAGAAATGAAATTAAATAGCAGAGAATATATCTCTGTGGACAAGAAAGTGTCTGTTTCTTGATCAAACTTCATCACCGTTTTTACATCCAATCAAGCTGGCCAGAAGAGTAGAGAGGAGGGTTGGAAACCCCTAAAAAGATATGAAGTCAATGTTTGTCCTCAGGGAGAGCTACTGTCTCATACCTCTGAAGGACAAATACCCATAAGGAATGTGTCTGCAGACCCAGCAATGAAGATACTTGATAGAGCATCTTTGCCCCCTGGATTCCTTCCCAAGGACAGTATGTTGATGGAGCATAAGTATACACAAGGCAACAGCCCCATCAAAAAAGAAACAGAAAGATAATTTGTGGGCTTTGGGGAAGTACTGCAGTTAATGTTGTTCTTGTAGAAGAGCCACTACTTAATAACTGAAGAAAAAAAACACACTCCATGCTTTCCAAGATGCAGAAAATAAGACCAAGAAAAAACTAAACGTGATATAGCTGTCCGCTTCCAGCCTCCCTCTGAGGACCCAAATGAAGAAACGTGGGCCCAGCTAGTTGCCACACAGTGCTCACTTCTTCACCAGTACCTAAGAGAAAGACTGAAAGAGAGGATAGAAGAAGCTACCGACACCCCTGAATCTGATACTTCTGAGGAAGAGCCCCTACTGGTACTTCTTGGAGGAGGCACAACCTCAACTAACAGGATGAAGTTTCCAGGTTAGTACCAGAGTGATTGCTTTACATCTTTAGCAAAAAGATCATACCACTGAGTTTTGATCAGTAACTAAGAGTCATGACAATGTTCTGTAACTTCGGGGGGATGATCTATGGGACTCAAAAAGAATTACCTATTATCTAGCACTGTACATTTTATTTGATAGACTATGGTGTCTAGAGAGAAACTATCTCCCCATTATATAGTAACTCCACTAAATTCCTATTAAATATGAAAACAAAGGTCTCAAAAAAGCAAAACAAACTAACCTCCTCTCCCCCCAAAACACACACACAGAGGCTTTTTTTTGTTTTGTTTTTATTCTTGTTTTTATGAGACAGGGTCTCACTATGTAGCTCTGGCTAGCTAGAACTTGCTATGTGGATCAGACTGGCCTCTGCCTCTCAAGTGAGTGGCATACACTTTTAATCCCAGCACTCAGGAGGCTGAGACAGAAGAATCATCAAAAGTCTGAAGACAGAGTGGGCTACATACTGAGTTCAAAGTCAATTTGGACTATAAGAGACTCTGAAAATAAACAAGTGCTTCTCATTTTTCATCAGGTGATATAGCCTATGCTACCCAAGAGGGCCATACCCAGATGCCCTTTGACCTTGAACCAGAACCATGAGGCAAAATAAGTCTCTTTTCCTTGTGGCTTACCAAGGCTACAGAATTGCTTTTAGCAACAGAAAATGGACTGATTTTTTGTGTGTACGTGGCATGCGTGCATGTTAGGGGTGTTCACACGTGTGTTCCTTACTATGTTATGTAGTCCAGGCTTGGCTCAAACTGGAGTTTTCTCTTAATCTCCTTTTCTCACCTCCTGCTTCTGCTGAGGACATTACTCTGGAGTGAGCTAAGCTCCAGGTCATTCCCCTGGAGCAGCTGTGTGCAGCTCTGGGAACCCATCCCAACAGCCCCCCTCTCACCTCAAAGCTGCTGCCATTAACTACAACCCAGCCATCAAAGCACCTGCCACCATGTGGCAGAGGCCATGTAAGTCTACCCCAGAGAGCTGCACAGCCGCGTCCCCTCATCTTGAGCTCTCTGCCCTTCTCGGACCCCAGGTTTCTTGACCCCAAGACACAAGGGTTTCTTTTTATCTTTTTTTGTGATTTTCCCAACCAACCCTGAAATCAGGCATATTGAGAGAGGGGGTAAAACCAATAAACAATCTTCTGAACATCCAGGCTGCTGAGGCTTTGAACTTCACGAACAACCTGGCCAGCTGTGCATATCTATGCTGGGTCTTCTTCTTCCATCACCGCATCATTGCTGGTGCTTTTACTCTGTTCATCCTCTGGGCCTGCAGGTAAAATGCTAGTGACAGTATGCAGAAGGGCTTCAATCTGCTCCTCCGTGAGCCGCTCTTCACTCTCTTCTACCATCTACAAGGAAAAGGAAGGCTGTCAGGGGGGTAGAAGCAAGCCACCCATCATGGCCCTCCCCCACCATGAAGTCCACAGTGCTGGCCCAGAACCTGGTCCTGAGCCCACAAGGTCTTCATCTAGGATCCACAGTAGAATGAAGCCAGTTCAAAACCCAGACCAAGCCAAAGCAAGGATACAAAAATTCATCCGTGAAGCTGAGTGTCTGTCTGTCTTTCTCTTCCCCCGACTCTGCTCTTTCCTTTTTTGCAGAAAAGGTAGCCCTAGCTGTCCTGAAACTCACTTTGTGTAGATCAGAAATCTGCCTGCCTCTGTCTCCTGAACACTGGAATAAAGATGTGTACCACCACCATGCCCAACTTGTTTTTCTTTAAATGAAAGGAAATCCTAATGATTCTATTTCCATTTACATCTACATACTAATATGTTGGATGTGCAGAGAAATTCACCTTTAAGGGGTGACATGGGATAAACTTCTGGATTTCCCAAGTACCTCTGTCACTCGAGTGGTACCACCCATTCATTCGATGCTGCTTCCCCCGTGCCACTCACCAGACTCTGAGATTTATAAGCAACACTTAATGCAATCCTAGCAAGAAGCAGAACTGAACTAGTCTGGCATGCCCAGGTAGAAAGCAACCCAGCCAGCACATGCCAAGCTATGGTTTGCATCCTAAATGTCCCTCAAAGGCTGTACATGGAAGGTTTGGACCTCAGCCAATGGCACTCCTGGGAGATGGAAGAACCTTCAGTAGTGGGGCTTACAGGGAGGAAGTCAGGACACTGGGTGCTGGGACCCTGGCCTTTTCTGTTTGCCTTTGGGTTCTTCAAGGTGAGCAGTTTATGGCATGCCATTGTCACAGGCCTAAGGCATTGTACTTGGACTGAATCTGAAACTGTGAGGCAAAATAAACCTTTCTTCTTTGTAAGTTGATTATCTCAGGTACTTTGTTTAAGTGAGAAGCTAACTAACACAACCCACTGCTCTCCAGAGAAGGCACAACAGGAGTCTGATGAGTAAGCGGAAAGAGAAGCTGAAAAGATGATGGCTCCACAGTTAAAAAGCAATGGCTGCTGTTGCAGAGGGCCTGAGTTCGGTTCCCAGCAGCCACATGGCAGCTCATAACCACCTGCAAGTCCAGCTCCAAGGAATCAAACACCCTCCTCTGGGCTCTTTAGCCACCCACATGCACCCACACACAAGCATACACACAAGATACATGCACACAAATATGCTTAAATAAAAAATACTAAATCTTTTAAGATTTTAAATTTATTTTTATTTTTACATGTATGAACATTTTGCCCTGCATGTGCACCACATGTGTGCCTGATGGTTGCTAAGACCAGAAGAGCACATCAGATCCCTTAAAACAGGAGTTAAAGATGATTATGAGCCACATGGTTACTGGGAAATGAATCTGGGTCCTCTGGAAGAGCAACAGGTGCTCTGAACTCTTCATCCTCATAAAAAATACAACTTTAAAAGCAGTACGCAGGTATAAAAGGACTGTTCACATGGAGGAATGAGCATGTGACAAACACCTTTCCCAGATGAAGGCTTCCTAACAGCAACCTCTGAGACCCGGCAACTGATACAAAAAGGTGTTTCAGAAAGAACCCTGGCAAATGTATGGAAAGTAATACAGGAGCAGATTACATCCTGAAGAGGATGGTAGTCTGATTGCCTTCTCTTAAGAAACAGTACTGCTGATTTAAAGACGTCACAGGACATGACACACCCAAAAGCACATTGCAGGTACACAGAACACCTTCCTTCCAACCAAACTGTTGCTATAACTAGAGAATACTTTTGGGTGTTTCAAGTAGGGAGTGTCCAGAGCAAACCATTTTCTAAAGGTCTTTATATTTATTTAGACAAGGTCTCAAGTAGCCCAGGCTGGTCTCAAACTTGCCATGTAGTTAAGGTAACCTTGAATTTCTGATTTTGCAGCCATCGCCTCCCAAGTGCTGAGATTATTAGGTGCACACCACCAGGCTGGGCTTGTGAAGTGTCAGGTTGTTCAACACTCTCAGCCATCAGGGAAACCAAACTAAAACTGCTTGAGCTTCTACTTTACCTTAGTCAGAAAACCCAAGATCAATAAAACAAATGACAGAAGATGCTGGCAAGGATGCAGGGAAAGAGGAACACTTATCCATTGCTGATGGAAGTACAAAATGGTACAGCCACTATGGAAATCAGTGTGGAGGTTCCTCAAAAAGATGAAATAATCTCCCTCATGATCCAGCTACAGCACTCCTGGACATATACCCAAAAAACTCTACATCTTATTATAGAGATACTTGTTCATCCATGTTTATTGCTGTTCTAGTCATGAAGCGAGAAATTGGAAACACAATGCAATATTGTTCCACTGTTAAGAAAAATTAAATCTGCAGATAAATGGATGCAGCTAGAAATGCTCATCCTGAGTGAGGTAGCCCAGACCCAGAAAGACAAACACTGAATGTTCTCTCTTATATGTGCATGCTAGCCTTTAAGCTTTAGTATGTGTGTTTCATTTAGAATGCCCACGAGGTTAGGTAGCTAGTAGGTAACCTGGGGAAGGAAGAGATCTTTCAAGGAAAGAGAAATGGAATACAGTGTCATAAAGAGATAAAAGGCCTGGCATGGTGGTGCACGCCTCTAATCCTGACATTCAGGAGGCAGAGGCAGGCAGATCTCGAGTTTCAGGCCAGCCTGGTCTAGTCTACATACTAAGTTTCAGGACAGCTGGAAATATGTAGAGAAACTCTGTCTCAAAAACCAAAAACAAAACAATAAAGAGAGATAAAGGAGAAACAAGAGGATTGAATGGGGATGGAAGGACAGGGTAAAGGAAGGAATTTGGGGAGGGACAATTAACACTAAAGTCCCTTTGAAAATCCATACGGAAACCTAACTTCCCATGCCAGGAATGAGTTACAACTTGGTAAGTCATTGGCCAGGAGGGTCCCAAAGAAACCCTGCCAAATCAAGAGACTACTGCCAAGACTATTGGCTACCCTCGATAACCCAAAAGTCAGGCTCTATTGCTGAAGACATCACTCACTTATATCATCAAGGATGGAGAAACAGAGCTGGTGCCCAACTAGAAGCTTCACCCCTACTGATTCACATTAATGGTATTAGAAGGTACTGTGCACTCTACCAGAGAAGAAAAGTAGTCATCAATAACCACCCAGCTGTGAACCAGTCTGCAAGATATACTGGTACCACAATAGCACAAATGCTATGGGAGCAACCAACTGTCTTTTGATTGGACTTAAGACCCACTCCATGAGATGGAACCCATATGTGACACTCACCACTAAAGTGGCAGGAACTTGAGACTAGACAGGTCATGGATCCAAGGGAGAAACCTACTACAATTATTCTGCTAAAGGAATATAGCAATAAAATGATTCCCAATGACATTGTTATAGCCATAGATCAGTACATCACTCAAGCCTCATTAGAGAAGCTACTTCTTGCAGTAGACAGGAATTAACATCGAGACCTACAACTGGAGAGTGTGCAGAGATTGAGATTTTGGAGCACTCAATCTAAATGAGATCAAACCCCTCCTATCAAGGCACAGGCATCTCTGCTGTAAAGGAGGTGGTAAGATTCCAAAAGCCAGAGGTGTCCATGACATCAAAGAAAGAGTCTTCATGACACTGCAAGGATGATACACGTAAGAACTCAGAGAGATTATAAAAGCACATACAAGACCCGCACACGTTTAGCCATCATGGAGAAGGGAGGTGGACACAAGGTCCGACTCCTAACCAAGAGGCTATTTGTCACCAAAACCTGCAGGGAAAAGGATCCATTTTCTCCAGTGGAGCGACTGACACTGGGCATAATCAATTACACTCCAGGGCAGGCCCCATGCCCAGGAGGAGGCCAACATAAAACAGACTCCATGTTTTTGGTTTTTTTTTTAAGATTTTATTTATTTATTATGTATACAACATTCTGCTTCCATGTATATCTGCACACCAGAAGAGGACACCAGATGGATGGTTGTGAGCCACCATGTGGTTGCTGGGAATTGAACTCAGGACCTCTGGAAGAGCAGTCAGTGCTCTTAACCTCCAAGCCATCTCTCCAGCCCCAACTCCATGGTTTTTATGCTTTTTGTTTTTGTTTTATAACTTTTGTTTTATTGGTGGTTTTTTGTTTATTTTATTTTTGTGTGGCTGTGCGCCCCCACTTTGAGAGAGAGAAAACACGAAGTTGGGAGGGTTAGGAAGTGGGAAGAATCTAAGAGGAGTTGGGGGAAGGGAAAGAATATGATCAAAACATAATTCATGAAATGTTTTAAAATAATAAAAAAAAACCAATTCTTTAAAAGTGCATTTTTAGAGAGGTATGTTGACACATGCCTTTATTGCCAGTATTTGGGAGGTAGGGACAGGAGGATCAGGAATTCAAGATTAGTCCAGCCTCAGTCACATATTAAGTTTGAGGCCAACATAGGCTACATGAGACCTTACCTCAAAAAACAAAACAAAACAAACAAAAAAAAAACACATCATTTTTTAAGATCAGGCATAGAAAATTAATGGGAGTATTCCAACACAGTATGCCCCCAAAGAGGAAGGGGAGCTGGAGGGAAATATCTGATTGACTATTTGGTCCAAATGAAAGACTAAGCTGATGAATAACTAGCAAACATGGCCAATTAACTACCCGGAGGAAGCATCTATGAAGTGCTCCAACCACACTGGAATCATACTGACCATACTGAATCATACTGATTTTGGGAGGCAGTGAAGTCCAGAGCCCTGAAACCTGAAGCCAAGATATTGACAGATGAGGAATTTGAGGCCCAGCTCTGTCTGTGCCTCAGTAAGCAGACCCCAAAGCTCAGCACCAACTCCTTCTGGAGTACCAACTTCTCTCACTAATGCTGTACAGTAGTATGGAAACTCTGGATTTGGGTTGGTGGGACCCTATGAGGGTTTCCTTTTTATGTAAGAACCAGGGCTGCTGCCCTGCGTCTTTGTCTCTGGTATGGCATCGACAATGCCAATTAGGAGTCACCAGGTGTTGCCTTTAGCAAAAGGGCAACAGCTCTCTGATTCTACCAACTTTGGCAACTACAGAAGCCTTTACCAGAACTAAATCCTCATGGATAATTATAGTTGGGAAGGTGGTTTTAAACATGAGATGCTCAGTACTCAGGCACAGGAGGAAAATGAAAGCTTACCTACTCCCCTTGGACCACTAGAGTGGCAACTACATCCTGCCTCACCTTTCCTCCCCAACACAGGAGAACAGCCCAAATAAGAACTAAAGGCCCCATCTCAATGTTCTGCAGTACCAATGTGTCAAGTTGTTCACAATATAAAAGAAAGTAAGATTATAAAATCCCAAGTGCTAGCAGGCAGGCAGCTCTTGGTGAATAACAAATCTCTGCATATACAAAGCTCTCTTAATCCTTGGAGGCTGCCAAATACTCCAGAAGAGGCCGCTCCCCACTGTAAGCTGCCAGCCATAGCACACGGCTTTCCTCACATGACCCAAACCTAACAGGCCAACAGCTGTGATCAGAAATCAAATGGCTTAACACTGAAAACCATTTTAAAGCTTTGTTTTTCATCTTTGTGTGTATGTGAGCATGTTCACACTCAAGTGAGTATGCCACAGTGTGTGTGCGTGTGCGTGCACGTGTGTGTGTGTGTGTGTGTGTGTGTGTGTGTGTGGGAGGACAACCTTGGGCACAGTCCTCACCTTCCACCAGTTTGAGTCAGGGTCTCTTTTTGATGTTTCCACTACTTATGCATGCCAGGACAGTTAGTCTGTTTCCAGGGAGGCTCCTCTCTCTGCCACCCATCTCCCTAGAGGAGCCCTAGGATTACAACAGATGTGTACACTACACAAATAGCTTTATGTAAGTTTGGAGGATTTGAACTTGGGTCCTCAAGCTGGTGGGGTCAAGTGCTAAGCCATTTCTTCCACACCACCACCTTAGAATCAGAACCTTTCTGAGCACTAACAAGACATGACACTTCCTTAGGTAAGGCTTGACAAAAACTGCTCTCTACTTAGATGGAAATTTCTACTTCTGACATCATTTGATGAGCTACAGAAAAAAAAATGATAAAAGCAAGATCTTACCAAAAACACTATATACAACTCTTTTCAATCTACATGTTGCAGTATATATAAAATATACATCATTCTATGTTGAAACTTGGGTCTTAAATTCAATATCCTGAGAATAAGGTCCAATACTAAACACAGAATTCATCTTGGAAAACTCAGCTGTAGCAACAGCTGTGACTCCAGCTATTTGGCCCAGCAGTTCACTTGACCTCTGAAACATCGGCTTCCTCTGACTAAGTTAAAGTAATGCCTACAGTGAGCACAGGGGATCTGAGAGGCTGTTTAGTGAGCCCTGAACTTAATGGACTCAGCAGTAAGGCTGTGCAGGCCAAGGACCTGTGAGTTCACAGGGTTCGATGACCCAGCTTCAGAGGGCTCCTAGACTGTTCAAACAGACCACAGCAGAGCAAGCTGGAGACACACAACAGAGCAGGCCCACTTCCTTCATAGAGCCTCTCAGTCAGTGGACAGTCACCAAAGGACCACAGCAATTCCCAGCAGAGATACTTCTTGATCTCAACTGAATTCTAGCAAGCATGGGTGTATTGCAGCCCCTTTCTGAATCTGGGGAAAAGATGCAGCTGTAGTTACTACAGGGAAGCATTAAGTCCTTTGTTTTCTGACCTCTCTGAAACCCTCATTCTTCATGCTCCCTGGTAGACAGGATGCTGCTCTAAGCCCTGATAAATGGCTTGCTATCTTTTGCAGTCAATTCTAGGGTAGGAAAAAAAAAATCTGACTAGAAAATGGTCTAGTTGTCGGGAAACAAGAGTTTGTAGAAAGGGAAACATCTAGCCAGGTGTTGGTGGCGCACACCTTTAATCCCAGCACTTGGGAGGCAGAGGCAGGCGGATCTCTGTGAGTTCGAGGCCAGCCTGGTCTACAGAGCTAGTTTCAGGACAGGCTCCAAATAATACAAAGAAACCCTGTCTCGAAAAAAGAGAGAGAGGAGAGAGGAGAGAGAGAAAGAGAGAGGAGAGAGAGAGAGAGAGGAGAGAGAGAGAGAGAGGAGAGAG